CCCAATACACAATCACGTCATTATTCAATGTTTCATTAAAAATCACAACATCTCTCCAATATCATCCATTTATCTCCTTAATGTAATTTTGTTGTACCAGTGGGATGATTTGTCCAGGGCGATTCCGCATGCCGTTCGACCCATGTTCGCCTTTCTCTAGAGTCATTTTTAATTAATGATATTGACCCAATATATCACACTATTCATACCATGTTGAAACGCGAAACTGGCTCGGACTACTTCGGACTGCTTTGGACAATCAATCTTATTATACATATATTACTTAAAAGTATTAATCCGTATAGTATATAGTACGTCATGGCTTACAATCCTTACATAGCCTTAACCACATTTGATGGACACATTACGAAATACCACAGTGGAAATACACAGTGACCAACAAAGACTAAGTTTACCGCAATATCTCACTGCATGGTCTACTTTCCAGACCCTGTGAAGATATATTTGGGAAAACCATTTACTCAGATGAGATACTGTAAAATTACACAACACAAAATCACAAGTCTTGTTACCAATTCCTAATTTGCAATATCGCAGTATGGTCAAATGCGACCCTGTGATAAATTCATGTGCATCATCAAATTACACCTATCAATTACCAAGTAATAACTTTACATACCGTACATGTTAACTTCAATTACGATATTTCTACAATGGATTGACATAAAAAGACACAAAACAACGCACGCATAATACGCGTGCACCTTTTATACAATATTTCACGGCATGGTCTACTTTCAAGACCCCGTTGAAAATATAAGAAATCCATGAGATAAATAATGATTATAAGTAAACCACAGGTCCAAGACGCATGTAGAGGTCCTATTACCTATCCCAAAATTAAAATATTGCGAGTTACGCTCATAGGGAACGGAAAGCACAGCTACACCAGGCTCCCTCTACATTTCCAATTTTCTAGACCGAACACATGTACAATACAATCGATACACACGCAGATTTAACAATGATAACGACCTGATGGAAAACAGAACACAGCTTATATAGACACCAGTGATTTACAGAAAGAAACTATAGATTATGCACAATAACAGTGACGCACAAATCACAAAACGACTAGACACAAGGGATGACATATACCAGCTGCAAATGGACGCCCTGTCCTTGACAAGGAGAGGGTCGACAAATATATATACTAACAATAAATTACAACACAAACGAGAACGATCCACTAACGAACGACGGTGACTAAAAATTTGGAAAACTCACAAATAGGCAATGACAACGACACTGCCCTACAAAACTAAACGCAAAAAACGCCTCTTCGAACTGACCGTAACCAACCCAATACAAAAACACCCTAGACGAACCAAAAAACAACCCTGACTACGAAACTGACACACAAACCGACAATACGTCACCCCACTACTACCAGATCATGCTAACCTTCTGGAATATATGTCTCGCATTTTACTCGAACTCAAAACCTCTTACGGGCTAAATAAAGACATGAAACCACTAGGCTGAATAACAACGTTTCTAATGCAGAAAAACGGGCTGTAAAGAACCTTCGCAACAGCGAAGAAGTTATAGTGAAACCCGCCGACAAAGGTGGCGCTATATAGATATCTGGCCCAGAGAGTCTTAAAAAGCAGAGACGAATAAACAACCAAACGACAAACAAAACTACAAACTTATATATCTTTGGGGGCGGACAGGCAATTCCACCCACTCATATCGCATAACTAAACATGCAACTGAACATTGCACTCACACTTTAGACTAATGAAAAATTTTAAACATTCCTTAGTCATCAGGTAGCCCACAGCGCATCACGCTCTAATTATACATAAAAAATGACACATAATTAACACCTCACAAACATGCACGCTATCAAACCACATGACGTCATCTAATCAGAACAACTGACTTAAACCGGACTTCAGGGGCCCAACATTCATTCTTGCTTACGCAAATTAGCGAACAACATAGAAAAAAGGGATCCTTACTTACAGGAAGTTTAATTCTATAAATCAACCCCAAAATATTGCTGGTCGATGCGGATTACCACCAAACAAATCATTTAGTAAGTTTTTTAGATTAAGGTTGTTACGTTAAATTTATATATATATATTTAATTTTTTTTTATCTTCTTTCTTCTATTGCTTTTCATCATTTTTTCATTGTTGTATAATTTTCTACTATTTTGACTACTCACTACTTCTCTATAGCACTCCACCTATGCCATATCACATAATATCATTTTGAACAACGCCACTCTCACTTACCATTTCTCTCGTCAACAACCAACAAAACATCAACTCCCAACCCCGAAGCCCCTCCTGATGAAGGTCATGAGACCGAAACGCGTCGAGGGCCAAACAAATGAAAAAGCACAATTAACACAACTATATATACTGTATCTTCAATATGATATACCATCCGCTAACATACTTCACAAGCAAGGTCAACCCAAGACTCTGTGAGGTTTGCTATAGCCCCAATATACACAGTCACGTCATTATTCAATGTTTCATTAAAAATCACAACATCTCTCCAATATCATCCATTTATCTCCTTAATGTAATTTTGTTGTACCAGTGGGATGATTTGTCCAGGGCGATTCCGCATGCCGTTCGACCCATGTTCGCCTTTCTCTAGAGTCATTTTTAATTAATGATATTGACTCAATATATCACACTATTCATACCATGTTGAAACGCGAAACTGGCTCGGACTACTTCGGACTGCTTTGGACAATCAATCTTATTATACATATATTACTTAAAAGTATTAATCCGTATAGTATATAGTACGTCATGGCTTACAATCCTCACATAGCCTTAACCACATTTGATGGACACATTACGAAATACCACAGTGGAAATAAACAGTGACCAACAAAGACTAAGTTTACCGCAATATCTCACTGCATGGTCTACTTTCCAGACCCTGTGAAGATATATTTGGGAAAACCATTTACTCAGATGAGATACTGTAAAATTACACAACACAAAATCACAAGTCTTGTTACCAATTCCTAATTTGCAATATCGCAGTATGGTCAAATGCGACCCTGTGATAAATTCATGTGCATCATCAAATTACACCTATCAATTACCAAGTAATAACTTTACATACTGTACATGTTAACTTCAATTACGATATTTCTACAATGGATTGACATAAAAAGACACAAAGCAACGCACGCATAATACGCGTGCACCTTTTATACAATATTTCACGGCATGGTCTACTTTCAAGACCCCGTTGAAAATATAAGAAATCCATGAGATAAATAATGATTATAAGTAAACCACAGGTCCAAGACGCATGTAGAGGTCCTATTACCTATCCCAAAATTAAAATATTGCGGAGTAACAGAGAAGGAAATACGAATCTTTCTCCCTAACATAGGTTAAGACAATCATTTTACAAATGACACGGTGGAATGCCACTCCGTGGACATCGTGACCTTCTGGTAGTTTTATTGTCGACTTTAGATTTCCTTCCTCTGTGTAGAAGTGAACGGCCATGTCACCGTCTGATGATAGCATGATTTCATCATTATTTGAAATATTCAAGCTGGGTGGGAAAGGCGTATCTCGTCGTGAATCTCGTTCAAACTTATATTTCAACTGTCCGCTGCCGTCACAGATATATACATGTGGATCACTGTATTTGACCATAATGATATTGTTTTTGTTTACAGCGATCCTCACAAAGCGAAAATTGTTTGTTACCTCGAAGAAATACAATTTGCAAATGTGCTTTACATTGAAATTTTCATCCAATACATTCAACACGTAAGCTTTTACATTGCCATTTTCCGTACGTGTTTCAAACCATCTCACCACATAAACGTTGTTGCAGTTATCAACAGTAAGTCCTTCAATATATTGTTCGATAACTTCGCCTTCCCTGTGGTCAGGTAATGGAACAACCTTGTTTTCTCCTGTTCGGAAAATAATCGTAACGGTGACTTCATAATACTCACCACCAACAACGTGATCACCATGGCTGTTAACAGCAGACAAATATGGAATTACTTCTTGATCAAGTGTTAGGTTGCGGTGTAGATTTTGACTCAATTCGCCCATCGATTTTCTTGTCGAAACCTCCTGCCAATCTAATATTGGGTTAAAACTGCGACCAGTAAGTTTAATTGTTTCAGGCCAAATCACCTTGTCAGAAAGTTTGCGACTGAATTTGGAATTGAAATGAAACAAAATATTGTTGATCAGCATCACAGATTTCACGTTGGCAACTCGTTCAGCCTTGTTTAGCTTCGACAGGACGCCACGACGGAGATACACGGAGAACAGCTCACGGATAGCCGGTAAGCCATGTAGCTCTCGAAGAAGCGACAGACATCCAGTGATTGCGTATTCAGGACTTTCGAGACATTCCAATATCTCGGAAACTATTCGTAGTTTCGCAGCGAGAATTCTGTCTTCAATTTTTAGTGCTTCATTACAGAAAGCATCGGTTGCTCTTATACGGGCATATTTAAATCGCTGTTTTGCGGCTTCCAATTCTTTACCCGAGTTGATTTTCATCTTTCCCATGGCGTGAGAAAGTTCTAAAGCTTCGTTTAAGATCCCACACTCAACACCGCTCAACATTCTTCATGTTTCACCGCGGTTTTCGCGAGTTGGGGTTTTTCACAGCTTTCTGCTCGAGCTTTGATTTATCAAGAGAAACATTAAGTAATTCTACACCTTCCTTTAGAAAGCGGTAGCTGCTGAGTAAATTTACGCGGGAAAGACCATCAAGTTTCGTCTTGATGTCATCCAACTCTCTTACGACGATCTCTCGAATTTTTGCATCTGTAATATCGCCGTCCTTCAGTTTCGCCGCAGTCGAATCACGAGCCTTATTGCACAACAAGCCTACGGTTGAGCTTATCATACTCGTAACAATGGAAGTCATATTTGAGTCAGTTGTCTGATGGCGATGCTGCTTAATTTGAAATTGGACAGAGATACACAGAGTTGTGGTATATTGAATGATGATAACGTAATATCCTGTAACATCAGCGGTCTGATTAGTCATAACAATAACACTGACAGTGTAATCATTATCTATCATAATTCATATTCATAAATCTGGTCCTTCACCGTCACGTGCGTATTGTATTTTTGCCAAATCCGCCAATAGCAATTTCCAATTTACCCTATAGTTCGAGTCAGGGGTAGGTAACTTTCCTAAAACATTGCTATTGGTTAGTTTAGCAAAAACACAATGCGCACGTGACGGTGAGGGACCAGATTTATGAATAAACGTTGACTAACATAGATAATGAGTTATATTGTTATTCTAATGAGCCACTCCCCTTCGATAGGCTATGTGATGAAATTTTCTCTTCAAACTTTTCTCTTTATATTTTATTGCTCGTGACGCAGTTAAACGTTGAGCGTGCCGTCGCCATTATCTGTTTTAAATCTCGTTACTGACGTTTCTGTCTGCGGGTATATGTACCCCCAAAAACCACACAAAAAGCGCATCGCTATAATTCTTTTAAAATATACTAAATTTAAAAAAGAGCTTTGTATTCAAGTAAACCTGCCTAAAGTGAGTTCGCCTTGGCAGTCATTTATTGCTGTAATTATCGTAAAAGATATGATCTGGTAAAATAGGAGCTATAGGAATTACATGGTATATTTATCATCATGGTGTAACTGTTAATATCTATGGGATATGCTAGCTGTATATTGTAAGTGCGTGGGTTTGATGAGTTACTTTCTTATCTGTTATTGTAGACATGCGGCATAAATCCGGTCCGGTTTTGCTTTGTTGTTGTATGTATAATACGAGAAAGCTCAGGATCCAAGGAGCATTTTTTCCAGGTCTGCCTGGCCTGGCCAGCAACTTTGGTCTTACTGTCGTTTACGCGGTTTAATAAAAGAATGCCCAGGTTAAATCACGACAGGTGCTAATTAAACTATGCCGATGATGGAATAGTGTCAGTTGCAACTTTCATATCTTCGGTTCAGTGAATGCCATGTAGATGAAAATACCACCGTTCGAGTCAGTGAAACAATATCAACTAATTTCTAACGATAGTTTCAGTAAGTTAAGCCACAGTTAATAAAAGTGGTTAAACACTATAGCGATTTATGACCTTCAGGAGCGTAGGAACCGGGGGGGAAGTGGAGGGGGGGGGATTTTTAGGTGCCCTTTTTCATTCTAAAAGTGCCCCTCAAAGCCTGCCCCCCAACTTTTAGATGCATAATTTTTTCGAAAAATGTTATTAAAGGGAAATGGCAATATATTTTTTTATTTTCTCGTTTGAAAGAACATTTAAAACCATATATAAAACTCTTTTACCATTTTTTCATATCTTGCTTACTTCTACAAATATTTTAATCGAAAGAAATGAAATGTCCGCCATCTTGGATTTTTGTAGATATGCATGTTACGTCACAACAGGGGTCATGCAATATTTTTATCTAGATAACCACTAATAATTTTGCACTCAAAATTATACTCCGTATGCCCTTGGAAATATCAAGATCACTTGAAACCTTTAAAACATCTACCAATCAATATTTGGTCAACAACGAATACTTTTATATGGTTAATCCCTGTTGTGACGTCACCAAAACTACCATTATTGAGATAAAAAAATTATCCAAGATGGCTGACATGTCATTACTTCAAGTGAAAATATTTCAAGAACTAAGCAAGATATGAAGAATCGGTAAAAGAGGTTATTAAATAGTTTCAAAAGCTCTTTCAAATGCGAAAATAAAAAAATATATTGCCATTTCCCTTTAACTTGTGGTTAGAGCTGGACAACTAGCCTCTGTAGCTCGGTTTAGGGCGCTGCGCCATAATCGCAGGGCAGCAGCGGCTTCAATTCCTGCCAGGGACCTAAAGTTGCATTTTTCATTTCTGTTCCTGGTTAGGTCTAATAAATGTATATAAATTTCCACTCGACAATTTCCATCTACAATACTCATCAAATATTACTAAGCCATACCTTTCGCCGAACATAACTTCGGCTCCTTCGAATCACAATCCAAAACACTATTCGGAGTGTTATTTTCAAGCTTGTTTTTTATCTTTTACCTCGGTATTTCAATCTGTAGTAATATTATGGGAGTCAGCGGGATATTTTTGACCGGACATAGAATTATTTTTAATTTGCCAAGATATTGCGCTTTTGCAGGTCAAAGTACTTCCTGCAGGAGAGTGCTTTGCACGTGGATCCAGCTATTGCTTCTTTCTATACACACATAATTATAGAATCTCACATCTTGTAGCAAGTCTGCCAACAAGCCGTCAACAAGTTGTGTTCGCACTGCTTGTCCCAAGTTGTCAACAAGTTTGGAACAAGCTGTTAACAATTTGCAACAGCCTTGTTGATATTATCAGGCTTGTTGCAAGGTTGTTCCGACAAGTCCGATTCAGTCATGATATAGCAGTATTGTTACAACCTTAATTTAGGTCGTCAACCTTGTAACATTCTTGTTTATCATGACTGTATCAGATTTGTTAGAACAATTTTGTGCATGATAAGTCTGGTAATGCCATCAAGCTTATTACAAGTTGTTAACAGCTTGTTTCAAACTTGCTACAACAACTGGGAACAAGCAGTGCAAAAAGCTTGTGAACAGATTTGTAGCAACTTGTTTGCAGACTTGTAACAACTTGTGCGTTTTTACGTGTGTATGTGGCCAAGTATACACAGGGGCGTTGGAGCGGCTCTAAAAGCGGGGGGGGGGGCATTTAGCGTCCGTCGATGCCCCCCGAAAAAATTTGAAACTAGAGTCTCTGAAATGCCATTTCCTGCACTTTAAAAGACGATTTACATAGTTCTAAAGGTAACAAAATGTCATAAAATATCTCAAATTGTTTTGTCTACACGCGTAACTGAAATAATATTAATTAACTTTGTGGTTTGTTATTGACCTTTGTTAAAACGTGGGGGGAGGGGGTCAAAAGACATTCAGGCACCCCAACTAAAAAAGGGGGAGCCGTCCCCCCGGTTCCGACGCCCCTGAGTATACACGTGGCGCGCACGTGCGAGTAAAGACTGGCGCCAATCTCTAGACAACAAAGAAATTATCACAGTTATATCGTTGGATTTGTCTAAGGCATTCGATTGTATAGCTCATAATTTACTATTGGCAAAACTAAGGGCATTTGGTGTTAGTGAACATTCTGTAAGTTTATTAAGAAGCTATCTGTTTAGTCGTATGCAACGTATGAAAATTGGGAATTAACAAGGCAGTGTCTTGGGGCCATTGTTTTACAATGTATAAGTCTTGGAACACTTCATGCTTATGCAGATGATGAACAGTTGTACAACTCTGATCTTGATCCTGCATCTAGTTTTGGAGAGTAAGCTTGAACATGAACTGAACATGATAAATACATGGTACAGCATGCGCAATAATCAGGGCATGATTGTAAATCCTGAAAAACATCAAGCAATGGTCCCGCTTGGAAATTGTAATCACAAACTTGCATTCCCTGTAAACGATTCGATTGAGTTATTAGGAGTAACATTAGATAACGAATTGAAGTTTAATTGTTATATTACAATAATTTGTGACAAAATGGAAAACTTTTTAGCCAGAAATTATTATTAAAACTTTATACAAGTATTTGTTTTACCACATTTTCGCTATTGCTCCCTTATTTGGCATTTTTGTGGAAAAAGCAATATTGAAAAATTAGAATCTCTAAATAGACGTATATTAAGACATATTTTTCATGATAAGGACTCTAGTTTTATGTAACGAATATTAGGGACCAGTAATTAATAATGGGAGGGGGGCGGTGAGTGATAAATACCAAATATTGAATAGTCAACTTTTAGAGCCGCCACAATCGCAAGACCTTTATTTTCAAGACGCCCCCACCTTCATCTAGAAAATTTAGGACCTCCTCCAATATTTAATTTGTTACATTTTGTGGTGTAAAATAGGTAATGGGACAAGTACTGGTGTAAGAAATTGTGTAGCCTAAATAATTAGAGGACCAATATTCAAAATGGCTCCGTATGGTGAACTGTATATACGTAATAAACTATGGAAACTACGATTATGGGAGCTAAAAAAGGTGAAATATTTTGTGGGATACGATAAAGGCGAGAGATTGAAAATGAGTAGAAAAGTATTAAAAAATTGGGGTCTTTCCTTGTTACATAATTTTCAGTTTGAGGCCGCCCCCAATTCAAGCAAAAATAGTTGAAACCGCCTCCCGTTTCTCACCCACCGCCCCCCTCCTATTATTAATGACCGGTCCTTAGTACATTGTGTAATGCTAGAATGCATAGTAATTAGTATGCTGTCTGTGGTGTTTAAGAGCCTTTTGCATCCTATGTATCCCAATTATTTATAAAGGCTGTTTAAAATTTTAAAGCTAGAATCTCCAAATATATGCTTAGAGGCCAAAATATATTGGCTTTAACAAAACCAAGGACGACCAAGTACGGATTGGAGTGTACTAAATATTTAGCGGCCAAGAGTTGGAACTCACTCACGGACGATTTTTTTTTAAATTTAAAACCACAATTAGAACGTTGGATTTTTCTATTCCTTATTAA